GTGGTGCTCGTCCATCGTGTCAGGGCAGCGGATGGCCAAGGTCTGTCCTTTCAGACAGACCCCAGAACTGCCCACTGTTTTCAGTGAAATGCCTAACATTGTCCTGGGGTTCAAAACCAAGGGCTCATGGCTCAATTATACCTACTCATCTAGACGGATGTGAGGGTGGGGGAGAGAAGCGACTGCCAGAGCTTTTATGTTCAAACTTTCTGGAACCTTCCAAATACTAGATTATTCCAGAAGTCAGTTCCTGTGGCCTAAATCACCCTGTCATGCTCGAAATCAGAGGTACGAGATGATGGTACTGTTAAAGCCAGTCAATGTACACACATCAAAAATCAAAGATGCAAAAATGCATGTTACAGAAAAATTTCAACAGCAAGAATAAAACACAACTGGAAAACTATAAATAGTTATCAGTACTTCCAAGAAGTCAAAGTATTCTGTAAAACACATCAAATTAATTTGAGAAAGGCTTTTAAAAAAAGTATTTTACTCTATATGTGACCAAGAAGGATACCTGGTTAGCCCACAGGCTCCAGGTATGGATTCTTGCTCCTCTACTGGCAATGTAGCCCTGGGCGCTCATTTAAACATTCTATGCCTCAGGTTCCTTAACTGAAAATGGGAATATAAAAGAGGGGGATACAAGTGCTCTTGATACTTCAAAAGCACTAAATTAAAGTTAAATATTTTTACTTCAACTATTAAGATGTATCATCCTTATTATCGCACTGGAAGTAGGAGTCTCCTGTCACATGGAAGACTGTTGATACATATTCCTGAATGTATAAATATGTAAATATGTGCATAAATGTTATAGGTTAGGCTTGCATGTGAAATACACAAATGAACGCCGACACCACATACGCCTTTGAGAGAATGTGATTATCAACGTTTGCTAAAATGTTTTCAAAATGTCATTTCAGTCCAAAAATTATGAAAAGAATTACATGAAGTGCAGTTAAAATATATATATAATGGATAGCTTTCTAAATTGTTGCTTCAGTGTTATTTCTAATACAGACTAAAAATCAACGGAACACAGAGGTCTATTAAATGTCTATGGAAATGACTGTCAAATTTCAGAGACTCAGCATATTTAAATGCTAAGCTTGAGGAGGGCAAGACAGTTTTCTGTTTTGCCAATACATAATAAACAATCTAACACATATTAGATCCTGCGATGTTAGCAGAAAAAAGGAGAACCAAAAAATCATTTTTCTCAATATTACTTCTAAATGGAATGTTCAAATTTAAGTTCATTTTATATAGCTTTTATTACTTGAAAACAAAAATGACAATTCACACTTTATGCAGGACTTGGGCTTGGAGTTACTTTTCCCCAGGAGAGAAATAAAAAAACAATGAAACAGAAAACAATACAATGCCTTAAAAATGTGGAAGCTGTGATGTGTGTGCACATGCATGTGTGTATGATGGGGATGGGCAGGGAAAACGTGCAGATTGGATTTAAATGTCTCAGGAAAATCTGACCTAAACATTTTCAAAAGGAAGGCACTGGGCTGGCAGAAGTAATAACTGACTTGCACAACAAGATGAATCTGTCCTTGTATCGAATGTATATATGTTTATCCAGTATTTAAGTTTAATTTCTAAAACTTCAGGGAAAACTAAATTGAAAAATGAAATGTTTTTTTGTAAGTCAAATGTTTATTTTTTTAACTCCAATTTACCTCCCAAATCCATACTCTCAGAGTTCTCATGACACAAGCTTTCTTGTCCCCAAGTCAGACCTCATTCTCCCTCCTACCCGCTGTTGAGATACAACATCCAACTTTCCACTGAAAAAAGCAAGAGTATCAAAACAACGCCCAACCTCAGATCTATAACAAGTTAGGCGTTTCTTATGTCTCAGAACATTTTACAAAAATAAACAAACATGTGGTGCCAAAACTTAATAAATGGATGTCAATCTACTTGGGCAGATTTATGATAGGAAAGCAGTAACAGAAATAAAGAAAGCTATGAGTTATAAATCAAACCACATGCACATTTATGGAACTTCCACAGCTGGAGAAAACTTTGCAAATATTACCAAAGAAAACATTACTACACCGAAACATAAGAATTCACTTTAAAATCAGCACTTTAAAATTTCTCATTGAGAAAGGGATTTTTGGGTCAGTCACTAATCAGCATTTTGACTTTAATCTCTGGGGGCACTGGCTCCTCCATCTGTCCAAGGAGGAGTCGGGAAATGTAACACATAGTTCTACAATTCCAAGTCCAAACTGGACATCTGCTTAGTAAGTGTGGGACAGTCATCCTAAGAGCATTGGAGGCAGGGCTTGTTGGACACCGCAAGGCAAATTCCTGCTAACTTCCCATTCCCATTCCTTCCAGGCCTCTACTCTGGAAAGGGAGTCTATTGTCCACAGGGCAGACATTCTACTAAACATAATATTTGGGATCCTGTAGCCATAAGTCACCACTAGGGTATTTTATCATATTAAACAAAACCCTTAATGTACAGCAAAATGTCAACACTGATTGTATGCCGAAAATTCTTAAGTGAATGAATCAAAACTCCACAGGGGTTGTTAAAAAGGTCTTAGAATTTCTTATTGTTAGGTCACATTTTGCACAAGACTGAGACAATATTTATTTGTTAGGCATTTTTTTTTTTACCATAGCATCTTCATCACCCAATCTTAGCTACAAGAAAAAGAAAAGAGTAGTTTTGTTAAGCTCAGCATATATTTTGTGTTTAGGCCTTAGAGAGCCTGCATTTCTCATCTTTAACTAGTAACTTATGACAGAAAATAAGTTAAAAATGGAAAATAGTTCATTATTAAAGCATTCTGAATTGAGTATCAATCAGATCATAAAATTTATTCTTAAGAAGATGATGTAGCAGAATGAGTCCCTCATTTAGAGAATAGGTTATACTTTTGTTAGTATTGAATATTAAATTAATTTCTAATATTTGCTGCCACCACTAAACGATGCATAATTTTTTTCAAAAGACTTTTTTACGGAAATGAGGACCGTAATTACAACTGACATGAAGTTACAGCCTAGTTTCACCACTGAATGATTACAGCGAAGTCTCCAGATACACATGGACGCATGTTCTTCTAAAGGCCTCTCTACAGAAATTCACCAATGAAGGACTCCAAAACCAATTCCCGAATTTCATTTTGTCATTTGGTTTAACATTATAATTGCCTGTATTCAATTCATTTCCCATGATAACATTAAGTAAATTCACAATTATATTTATAAGCTACAGTAAGGTGGAGTTTACTGGCTGAATGCTGATGTTATTTAACAATTAGTTCTCACTGCCTATATCGATAAATACTTGTACTAGCATCCTCCTCTCCAGCTCACAGTAAATGCATTTAATCTTTGCCTGAATTTCCTTCGGAAATCAATGGGACACTTAGTAACATGAAGATACATGAGATTCCTATTGTGGGTGTTTCTACATGCTTTAACTCTGAATAAAACAAAGTTTATTTCTAGGACATTTCAAATTTTCAAATGCTAGTAACCAAGTGACATATTATCTGGAATTGTCTGCAAAACCCAAAGTCCCGGAGGTAAGAGTCACCTGCTTCATTTATATTATCCTATTGATTTAACTGCGTTTATAATTAATTTAAATTACTTTATTTAGATGGGTATAAATTCACATCCTTTCTACTCCAAGGGGGAGAGAGGAAGGAAAAAAGGAGATGAGCTAAAATGACAAAAAGAGTTTGCTTTGAATTTCAAGATACTGACACTTCGCAATACAGAGAATTATTTTACCTGTGGCTACAGCTCACCTTAAAAGAACACGGAGAGCCATCATTAACTATAAACTCAATTCATTGGCTTCATTCCTGTAACTGCTAACAAATAACAAAGTAACGCTGATGAACCTGAAACGTGTGGAGTTTCCATGAAACAGTAGCACAGAAGCCCACGAGCTTTCTTCCAACGGTCCCCAGTACCTTCATGAGCACCAGAAACACATCTTAAGACTACGGCAACTGCAGAAACGTTTACATCAGAGTCACACAGCTCAAGCTCAAATGACTGACAAACATTCAGAATGACATTTTAAACTTACGTTAAAAGAAAAACTTAAAAATCTAGTTAGATCAGCACTTCAATTACCCTACATCACAGATGACCTTACACTGCACTTGGGCGCTGAGGGATGGCTTCACGGCACGTTTACGTAGTGACCACACAGGCAGCCCAGGACAAGCAGGTTCGTAGCACACTTGTTTTTTTTTTATATTTGAAATTAGCTAAGCACTATCAAAAACGATGTTCAGTTTTACATTTAGAACAGGGGCAGTCTCTATTGGCAGTTTCACTAGCTCTCCATCAAAATTCATTCTAAAAATCAAGCACAGCAATAATAAATCTTTGTCTCATTTCAAAACTCCCTGATGGTATGTCAGAGGGGAAAAAATCATAGTAAACCAGTGCCCCTAAACTGGTGACAAAATCCAAACAGTAACTAGTAACCTTTAGTTGCAGGAAAGAGATTTCTATTCTTTTATGATTATTTTTACTAAATGTTCTTTGTTATTTCTTATAAAGAACAAAGTATTTGAACATTGAACTCCTACTTTATCCAGGCAGCATGATGCAGTTTTCCACGTTAGCACTTGCAATGCCATTCACTGAAAGCTCCTGGAAATTATACTGCCTTTACTCTTCCTTAAATAAGGGCACTCAGGAGAATGTAGTTTCCATGCTCACCACACTCAGAAAAGGAATCAACAGACAAGCTAGCACAGTCTTCTGCTGAGCTGCTTTTCCTTCGCTCTTTTTTCCCAAGGGAGGAAAAGTGTAAAGGCTGTGTTCAAAATGAATCAGGCATATTTTTAGAAGTCACCAATGGTCAAGCCACTTTGCATTTTTGGCAGATTCTTGCTTCAGATACCAGTTGCTTTAGACTACGGAGCCCCATCGAACCTCAAATCAGGGCTCCCCATGATGTCTTATTACTTATTACATGCTATGCTAAGTACCTGTGAAAGGGGGCACTCCTTGGCCAACGAACTCTGATTCATATCTTTCAGTAAGTCCTTCAGAGCATTCCTTACTGTGGTGTGCGACCATTGTTCAGGAGGCAAGTCTTCGAGTTTGGGGCAACTATTTGAGACATAGATTAGAAAGAGGATTATTACAAGATTGCATCCCGCTGCAAAACATTCCTTTAAGACAGACAGATTTCATTTTGCGCATCAAACAGATGCATCTGGAGATTGCTCTCGGTCTCCTGATTGTTCCGATTAGTTAATTACTTTATACAACACATCTGCTGTATCGATGCATGAATTATACATCAGCTGCCTGTGGTGGCTATTTTTTCATGTTACTTCTACCTTCCTGCTCTGATGCGCTTGGGAAGACAATTTAAGGTGTACTGCTTTCTCATGAGCCGTCGGGAAAAGCATTAATGCATTAACCATTTTCCTTTTGTGACTCTGCTCATACGAAGTAAAATGGTAAATAAAATATATAAATAAATAGGATCACAGCAATACGGAATAAGGCATTCTTTCACAAAATGTACACAGATGGCACTGTTCATGATATGCAAAAATATTTTTCTCTTAAGTAAACTTTATGTAAAATGCCTTCTTGTAATGCATCATTTAATTGACTAAATACAAAAAGTCTTATCTTTTGATAACCTGCACAAATCTACAGATTTTTGGGGGGGGGGGTGCCTTTACATTCTACATTTAAGTTAGGAAAATAAAGAAGGAGTAAGGAAACAAACCAATTTTAATTAACCCTTCTGAAACACAGAGGAAATAAAAAGGAAAGGTTGACTAAAGATGCTTTATTTTGAAAGATCAGGTAAGTAGAACGCTTTCTCCTTGAACGCTGTCCTGACTCACCTGTGTAGCTGAATTTTCAATGTGACCACATGATACACGTCTTGAAGCATATCTGCTACCGTAGCATCAGGGGCATCTGTCACATAAGACAGTGGAACTGGATTCCACTTTCCAACCTGGATTAACCCTATTCCAGATAAAGAGAATACGTCACTAAATAGTTTAGCCTTCAGATAATTAATCTGGTAGGTTTTTTATTTTTCCATAGCCCCCACCACAAGCAACATTGTTATTTCTGTTTGAGTGATTCCCTTCCCTCTAAAAGGCAGGTCAATGAAAAGATTCACAGCTTAGCTTTCCAAATTGTGAAATTATGTAAATGACTGTAGAGTTGTTTATTATTTTGGAAATCAAACCCCATCAATAAAAACTATGCATAGGCCACATTTTCCTAACTTACAGGAAGTTCTAATAAGACATAGCTGAACCAGTTCTAAATGGCTTTACAATTTAGATAAGGTTCTCTACTGCAAAGGGAATCAGCATTGAAAAATACTTTACAGCCCATAAAACCATCAGAAACAGAATAAAAGAAACAGAACTAGATATTCAGTCATAAATGCAAATTGACTCTCAACAGTCCATCTGCTCAAATACGCTCCTTACTTCCTTGTGGGTCCTCAGTGGAGCAGATTATTAAGGTCAATAAGCATACTAATGATTCAGCTGAAGTAATTTAAAAAAAAAATCTACCTCGACATTCCACATGAGCAAAATGTGTGTTAACTAAACCAAACTGAATTAAGCCAATTTTTTAAAGCCACAGTTTATAAGGAACCAATGCAACACACAGGCTACAGTTCTTTGCACAAAAATATTCAGTGCTCTCTCTGCAAGGTAAACAAAGGATGCCAAGCAATTTTTCCAGCCCCACATATGCATCATTTACCTTTGGCCTGGGCAGCAGAGCTATGCGAATAACCCAGAGACAGCAATGCCATTTCTATCAGCTGGTTGAAAAGCATATCCTTTCTCACCAACACAAATTCCGCATGCTCCTCCTTGCAATCATATTCAATGGCGTTTTCATAATGTTCCACCACGCAAAAAACTGGTAGCATGGTTCCTATCAAAGAGACAGAGAAAAAGAGATGCACACCAACAATCTTCAGAAATACAGTCTGTGGGAGGAAAAACTAAGCCATGAAAATAAATCTTCACCACAGTGAGAGAAAGGGAGAGACTCTGTTTCCAAGGCAGACAGGACACAGAAACACAGGCACGCACACACAAACATACACATCTTTTCTCTTTTAAAGTTGTAGGAGAAATGTTTAAATAGAATGTGAACTTGGTCCTACATTAAGTGGGGCTCTGCTTTAATTAAAATTAGTTAATGCAGAATCACCTTTCTGATCAAATAATAATGCTGACGAGAGAGAGAGAAGTCTCTCATCTGATCTGTTGTGATGGTGGAGTGTGCACACATAACTCACTACAGTTGTCTTCAGAAGCACCAACTTCATGCTTCCTATAAGCTTTTGTTAACACTAGACTTACCCTATTTGTGTCTAAACAAATTATCTTTATAAAATTATTAGCATTTTTCTTCCTCTTTAAAAATTTTAATACTTCCATGGAAGAAATGCAAAAACTTAACCAAACTGATGCTCACATATATGAAATATATGGATTCAATATATGCATAATATAGATAAATAAGATTTTTATGGTTACTCATTTAAATTACTTGACTAAAAATATCACAGTAACTATATGCCTTTAAAATGAACAATCTTTGTTATAGCAAATGAGATAAAAATAAGAGAGAAAAGGAAACTGGCCTCATCAGGACATATTAGGATAAAGGAATCTGCATAGATTTCATGTTCTCTCTTTATTTACTTTAATCCAATGTAATAACTCAGTAGCCAGATGATTAATAAGCGCAGGTCACACTAGTGTTAAAAACGAGGCTTCCAGAAACCGAAATCACGAACACTGTAGTACTCAAGGTGTTTATGCAGTGCACTGTCAGACTTCCAATGATAAACGGAAAAGGGTTAAAAGCAGATGCATCTGAACTGTTCTGTGGCAAACTGCCAGGAGGGTATCATCTTTAGCATAAATGATGACAAAGGTTACTTTAACAGGGCACCCAGGATCCTCAATTAGTCCTGTAATAATAATGCCTCTATATAAGCTCTGCCCTCTGCACTCACAGAATCCTACCAACTTCTGGACATGTCTAGTATTTGCGAACCGGGGTGAAAAAAATCAGGATTTTTCTATTGACACCAGAGATGCCCTTTAAAAATGCTCTATTCTGCGAACAAAAGCTGGCAGTTAAAACATTTTCTACACATGCATCTTCACCAAAGGTTTAGTGACCTGTTTCCAAGAGATTCTAGCTCTGACAAAACAACAACAAAACCCTTTAGGTTTACTTAGAAAAGCTCACAAACTCCTTCAGAGGTACCCAACAGGCTAGGCATGAAAAACAAGCCGTGGAGCTTGCCAGTAATCTTGTCATTCATTCACAGCTGATTTGTACCAGAGGGAGAACCCGTCAGGGATCAGCAGAAGATTTGGGAGACCACAGCAAAAATAGCAATATACAAACTGGTGGTTTCTTTCTTGGCTTGAAGGTACTTTGGCAAAATTTCCTAAATAAATAAACAAAAACATTCAACCCCTTTTTCCTAAGTAGTGCTTTCTCATCTCAGCCATAATTTTTATCTAGCACCTGTCAAACAGAAACCATGCACAAAAAATAAGATTAAAAAAACCATTAAAAGGCTTTAGTAATTTAGTTGCTTGAAATAGGCAGAGAACCTTTTACAATTAAACTGCATTTTGAAAATAAGTCACTATCAATACAATGCTTTAAGAACAAAACATCATTTGAGCAGGAAGTGAAATTACTGTACTTTGGTTTTTCCTCCCCGTCCTAATGTCTTCAAAGAGTTGGGTTAGTTCAACAAAAACATACGCATTGATTTTTCCTCTTACAGGATGGTACTGACTTGTTCTACTATATGCTGTCCTTTAGGCCTATGAAATAACCAGGTTTTTCACTATTGAAATATATGGGGTATATATTTTTTGCTTTACTTAGAGATATGCTGCAGATAATTAAGGTGCCTATTAATAAAGTGACAATAGTATCACATGATGACAAATCTAGCTGTTAAATCTGCCAGCAAACTGTCACAGTTGCCCTCCTGATATTGGGAGTAATGCTGAACAGGAGCCTTCTCTGAACTGTCTGGTTATTTGTGCTAGTGTTTGGCGAGACTTCCAACTACAGCAACTTCATAACCTTCCAGCATTAAAAGGGGAGTGCACTGGTCACTGCTGAATGCTAAAAATACCACATGATTTAAACCTGGAGGCAGTCTTAGAAGCTTTTGCTGAAGGTTTATGAGCCTGTGTAAACAGCACGTCTGCCATAAGGAGCAGTGAAGTCTGTAGAATCCTTGTCTAAAACTGTCCTGGCATTAAAGTTTGCTGTGCAAATATCACATAATACCAGAGACAGCTGAAATCTCCTATTTAGGAATTTATGGAACTTATATGTTTGCAGGCGTCAGAAAGTCTTTTTTATAGAGCCCCAGTGCTTCACAGTACAATATTAATGCACTCTGTTTGAAAAGCTGTAATAAATTATATTTTTAATGCTCTTACCCTGGCTTTCTTAAGATGCATACATTCTTGGCAAACAATCAATAAATAGGGTAATCATGAGTAGAGGCCAAAGAATTTGCTGAAGTGCTGTTTTTCCATTTTTAATAGATAAAGATCTAACAATACGGACTGCTGTGTCTGTTCATTTCAGGATCAATATATTCTTTGTTTTCGCCAAACCAAGGAAAAAATAAATGATTGTATGATAAATGTTATGCATCAAACACAATGAAATTCCTCTGCCTTCTAACTTTATCTACTTAATATTCTTGGTTGCTAAAAGATGGCATTTTTATCCTTTGCCTAGCAAATGTAAGGAAAATCTGAATCCTATACACATTTATTCAGAATCAAAATAAAGACCATTATGAAGACACATTATAACCCACACATGCACTGCTTTACACAAACACTGTGTTGAACACAAAGTTATTAAACTTCATCAATTTAATATAAAATTGGTAGAAAGGAGTCACAGTTACACCTCCTCCCCTTATAAACTTGCCTAAATCTGTCCTTCCTTTATGAAAAATACCCAATTATGGCAAAAATCAAAAATTAGGATCATCAGGTTTTTCCTTGCTAAATAATACATTTGACCTTAAGAAAACAAGCCACAAAATGACATAAAAACTTTTACATCATGTCATGTAAGATTTCTATTCCCTCTGAAACTGCCTTCTACAACTAGTAATCTTATGAAAAAGCGAGGGCAGTACTGAAACAATTTAAGTGTCTTATTCTTAATTGGGGTGAGTTTAAGCAATAGCCACCTATATATACATATACCCTCTGCTACAATAATACCTTATCAGCAGAAGCCTTGCATAGCTAAGGACCATTATACTGAACTCAATCCTTATTATCCTAAGTGTCCAGTGATTCCAGTCTATAGTAGTAGAGTAAGATGCTTCACTCCCACAGCCTCCACTTTCAAAACTGACACTGCAGCCAGAGATATAACAAATTTCAGATCAGAAAGAGAATCAAGGAAAAGAACATACAAAGACATGTTCTGCCTCTCCACCCCCACAGAAAGTGGCCTTGGGCAGACACAGGGCTCACAGCTTTCTAGGATTTGGCTTGAAAGTATTTACCTTTCCTAAGGTTGGTTTTCATCAGATGGCCCGAGTGTTTTAAAGGCACTCCTTGCATTTTTCCACCTGTACTCCCAAGCCTTCCTCTTCCTAGTGGGCTCCCGTTCTGCTCCAGGCGGGCGATCTTGGCTGGTGGACCCTTCGGATCGCTCACATTGTTAGACATTTCTGAATGTTCTTTCCCCTGAGTTGCCTCGTTCAAATGATCCATACTCAGTTACCCTCTAAAGATCACCTGCCAGAATTTAAAAAGAAGACGGCATTAGACTTGGGTGGGAGTCTCTCTCTTTCTCTCTGTATTTATATACATATAACACATAAATACTTTACCCCTCAATATCTCTCTTCACAAATGTAAGGTATTTGTAAGATTATTCAGCTAGATATATAATACGATGCAGGCGTTAACTCTACTTCTAGATAGCAGCATTACAGGGCCATTCAAGATAACAGAATAATTTGTGAAAACTGTATACCAACACACATGAATGAAAAGTGATTTGTCACCTACCAACAAAACTAAGTAGGGGGGAATGGGCTTACTTTTAAAACAATAGTCACCACAAGTATAGCTGGAAAGAAAATAAATTATATTATGTGGTCCCAATTTTTTAAAATTAGAAACTTCTTACAGAACATCAGCACTTTAATCAAAGAAGAAAAAAATTAACACAGTTCAAAATATTCACTATATGTGATATTTACAGGACATATAGCTTAGTTCTTATAAGAACAAAATAGATTTATGTACATATACCACCTCAGAAGGAAGTAGCAAGCTTCTAATTTTTAAACTCCCCATTGACTTTACAGGTTAATTTGTAGAAAAAGTTTTCTATTATCAAAGTTTCAAGAGATATGTGACCAGTTAAATGCCTAGTCAAATCTTGGCTCAAACGTGTGACTGGATCATTTCACCCCTAAGCAAATGGATGTCAGTGGAGTTCTTCAAATATCTCAGGTACTGAAGCATTAGAACTCACATGTTTTAGAGTTAATATTTTAGGAGAACAGTAGTCATAGAATGCTGTTAATTTAAATAGCAAAAACCTTGAAAATACGTTGTAACGTAAACATTAAAGTCAAGAACTAAAAACATCTTGATGATTTTGGTAAAACACAATTGTCAGTTTTCAAAAATAATTTCAGTATGCAATGAAGTCAACATCTTGAATAACTTCAAAAAATTGGTAATTATTTTCAGTTATACAATGGACATCAATTTTCACAGGGTTTATGATACAGCACTGAGTACCACATCCAAGGCATTCCTGAAATACAGTTTTAACTATCATTGATAAGAAAGGGTAAGTGGAATTATTTTATGAACTTTTACAATACTTGAAGTATTGAGTTTATCAACACTAAGGGGGAAGGGGCCATATTTAGGAAAATCAGAATATGATAATCACTACTTTCTTCCAGCTATCTAGTAATGACATCTCTTGCACTTTTAAAAAATTATTATATTGGAGGAGCTATTTAGATCTGATTTACTGAAAGCCAGCTTATATTAGCACGGCTTTTCTATATGCATATATTTCTTCTGTTTAAGCATAGATTACTTTGTCCATTATAATCAAGGAAAGAGGTGAATGTGGAGGAGGGTGGGATGGTAATCTGTAGGCTTAAAAGCAACCTTAAGAATGCCAATTGAAGAACTCTAAAGTTTGAGAAATAATGGCTATTTATCCTTGTACTCCAGGGTGGCAAGCTGAGAACTAAAGGTTTACCGTTGATCGAGGTCCCATCTGTTTTTGGTTATGAGGTTCATTAACAATAAATGTGCCTCTTTTAACCACTTTTTATCAAGATTACTCTTTTCCATTGTATTAAACTAAAGCCAAAATTAGAGTGATGATTATTAACTTATTCAAAAACACTCTTTACAATGTTAACATGTGGATTAAAAGACAGAGCTGCTCTTTTGGAAATTGGTTGCCCTGCCCTAGAGCAGAAAATGAATTTTAAAACATATGATTTGAAAAGAAAATACTTAACCCATGGGGGCAATTTAGGAAAGAAAAAGGTAGACAACAGCAACAAAGTTAATGCTGCAAAATATATTAAGTAGTCATGAGGCTTAGCAGCATTATAAACTATACAGCAAATGAAACTGATAATTTAGTTAATGTATTGACAATCAAAACATCATATAGGTCATGCAAAATTGTCCTTCCAGTCCCCACCTATAAGCATCTATTAAACACTCACTCATCTTGTAAAAAGCTTTACATTATAAAGCAAAATTACATGCACATAAAACACCCAATTTACTCATTTAAACTCTGTGCCCAAGGCTAAAATAAAGTTCACCAAACCTCAGTTTGGAATTGCAAAGAGCAGTCTCCACTGGGCCTGCTGGACTGACAGCACAGGAACTAACTACGGTCTGCACAGATGCCAAGCTGAAGAGTTCTTTTGAGTTACACGTTTTAAAATCCATTTTCGTGTAATGTCTGGTTGGCATACAGAAACCAGGCTACTTTCTCAAAATCCCATTTCCCTGTCCATAAACTAAGTCCATATGTGATAATCACTGAATAAAACAGTGAACTCAGACACAGCAATTATTTCCCTTTAAAAGAAAAAGCAAAGCATGAAATTCCGGTTTCAAGAACCTATTTTTTTTTTGCAGTGTGGGATCTTTTTCAACGAGTTCCTTGCTAGATGGCCTCCCTCGCCCCCACAGAACCCCATAATCACATTTTAAGAGATTGTGCCCTTATCCATTCCATATGGCCGGCACGATCCAGGCCAAGCTTTCACTGTGACCTTTTAAAGAGACAAAGAAGCAAAGTACTATCTAGAAACAGAAACACTGCAGTTTTACTGAGTGAAATTAGCAAAACCGACCTGAAACTCACCACTTCAAAACTTGACAGCATATAAATAACAAAAACAAAGGAGATTTCCTTTGCAGCCCGGGTTCTTGAAGAGAAGTTCAAGACTGATGTTTTCTGTCCTTTTTTTTTTTTAATTAAAAAAAAAAAGCAGCAGACCTGAAGGCGACTTCCCCTGAAATTGTATTATTTTCTCTTCCCCTACCCCCGCCCCCCTAAGCGGGGGAAGGGCAGAAATAAACGTCTAGAAGAGTAGCCATGGGGGGTGGGGGAAGTGTTAAAAATCACAATTCGAAAAACAACATATATAGGTTTGTAAAATGTCTAACCTCAGAGAACGGGGTTTTCGATGAGGGAGGAGGGGAGAGTGGGAAGTAGGGAGGAGGGCGAAGATAAAATTGATCTGACAAGTGATTCGTTGGGGGAAGAATCGTAAAAACAAAGCAAAACCCGTTATGAGCTGTAGACTGTGGTGGAGCTGGGGAGGCGAGGTGGTGACAGAGGATTCTCTTAAAAAGAACAGAAGAAAAAAATCACTGCGGACAAGGTCTCCAGAAAGGGGAAAAAGGTCCCCTCGCTTTCCTCCCCCCTCCCCCCAGCTCGCGGGGGTTTCTCGGTGCGAGCAGAGAAAGTCTACTCGGGCTGTCACTTGCGATATTATTCTCCAATGACCCCGCAGAACGCAGCGAGGGGAAGGCCACCTACGCCTCCCTTCCCATCGCCCCCACCACCCTCCCCAACAATCGCGACTAATATTAACAAACCTTAAACTTTCTTCCCACAGCCTCGCACCCTCAACGAGGGATTCTACCGGGGAACAGCGAGGGTGGGGGGCAGAAGGTCGGGAGAAAAGCCCCAGAAAGGCACTAAAATGCCACTTTTGACTCGGCCCTCGCTGACAACAGCCTCGAGGACACTCTCCCTGCCCATGGACGCGGGGCTGCGAGCGTCAGGGGAGCCGAGCGAGTGGAGGCAGGGAGGGGGGAAGGGCACGGGGGAGGGGGAGAGAATCAGAAGGCACCCCCAGCCACCTCCACCGCCTCAGCAGCGACTAACTCCCCGCCCCCTCCCCCCCAAAAGTCGCCAGGCTCTCACTCAGCCCGAGTCCGAGGTAAACAACGAGCACCACAATGGCACTAGGACTTGGGGGCAAAGAAACCCAGAAACCCCAGCAAAACTGATGAGGAGTTTCCCAAAACGAAAGAGGGGGGTGGGAAGCGTCCTCTGGAGTCGCCCTGGCTTTCTGCTCGGTCCCCGGGCAGTCTAGAGGGCGGCCGCGGCTGTTGTTGTTGTGACGAGGCCGGTTGTTGCTGGGTGGCACAGGGAGAGGTGTGTGTGTGCGCGCGTCGGTGTGTGTGCGTGTGAGTGCGAGTCCCCGGACGGGGCTGTTTCTCTCCCTCGCTCTCTCGCTCTCCCCCTCGCTGCCGTCTCTGCCCCCATTAAATTATGAGTTGACTCATCCCGGCCGCTGTCGCCGCCGCCGTGCCCAGCTCGGCTCCGCGCGTCCGCCCGGGCTGCAGCCCTCTCCGCCGCCGCTGCTGCTGCCGCCGCCGCTGCTGCTGCTGCCGCCGCCGCCGCTGTGGCTGCCTCTTCTTCCTCCTCCTCATTTTAATACAAAATCACCCCGCTCGCAGCCCCAGCCCCGAGCACGCAGCCTCCTCCCGGCCGCCCGCCGCCGCCCCGAGCCCTTCCCCAGCGGGGCCGGCTCCTCCGCCGCGTCCGGGGAGCGGGAGCGAGCGAGAAAGTGGCGGTGGCGGCGGCGGCGGCGGCGGCGGAGGAGGGGGGGAGGGAGAGGAGGAAGAAGGGGGTGCGGAGCGGAGGAGGAAGGCGGCGGGGGGGGGGGGGGTTGGGGGGGCAGGGTGCAAGGAGAAGGCGGAAAAGGGATGGGGATTAAAACCCGGGCTGGAGGGCCGGGATCCGGGGAGGGGGCGGGGGCGGCGAGTTAAAAAGCAGAAAGACAAGTAACTAGTGAATGAGTGAGGGAAGGGGAGGGAGGGAGCGCACAATTTCCGGCCCCGGGCGCGCAAGAATTTGTAATGAGCTTGATTAGAGTGAGGCGGCCCGACATTTATTACACACAATACCCAGAATAACAGGGCGCCGCGCGAGGGCTAGCGCCGGCCGCCGCCAGGCGCGCCAGGGCGGGCGCGAGGGGAGGAGGGGGCTCCGCTGGCAGCGGCCGCGGCGGGGAGGGGAGCGCGCGCCGCGCGGGCGGCAGGGGCAGGTGTGTGCGAGGGAGCGGGACGGGAGGAGGGGCCAGGCTGGCGCGGGTGGTGGGGGGTGAAAGTGGTGGGAAGCGGGGGGGCGAGGGCCAGGGGAAAAGCCAACCAACCACCCACATGCCACAAAAGCCACAAAATGAAATCCGTCGGGAGCGTCCCAGGCGGGCACCCTAGGAAACGGCGAGGCGGGGAGGGCGCACCGGCCCTTCGGGAGAGGGGCCGGACACGCAGGTGACAGGCAGAGAGCTCGGAGGTAGGGGGACTTCAGGAAGTGGCTGCAGGGGACAATCGGAAGGGAGAGCACTCCGGAGCAGCGCGGCGGGTGCAGAAACGTTTGCAGAGGAATAAAGGCCAAGATCCTTAAAACGCTCTCGCGAATATTTATCCTCAAAGAGGATGAATCCTAAAGTATTTCTAGGGCCAACGTTAAAACAGTCTTGAGTAAGAGCTTTCTGTACAAGTCAGAGGTAGGTTCAAAACTCCCTCGCTTCTGAGACGTTGGAGGAAGAAATAACGTGGCTTATAGTGGCCGCGCTAAACAAAATTTGGGTCACTTAAAAGACACCTGACTTGTTATTAAAAAAGGAAAAGATGCCACCATTTAATTACTAACCGGGCGAAAGACAAAGTTGGGCGGGGGTGGGGAGGCGTGCGCAAAATACCTCTATTGTTGCAATAAATACTTCTGCAGTCTAGGGTAAGTTACCCAGTTAGATAAATGGTCATTAGCACATACGTCTGATCCTCGTACTTAGATAATCTATTAAATGTAATTTCCATAAAAATGCAGAACATTACAATCTCACTCAAAATAGAGACGCAGTGTTTATCGCTTAGGTTTGAGCACTCAGTCCCTGTAGACAGTTTAATCATTAAACAAAAACAAAAAAGGTAAGAATTATTTTTCAGAAAACACTAGTAGGGAAAAGAGAAAAATCAGTCAGATAAACATTTTGTCACACATAAAAAAAGCAACAAGTTAGCACAAGTACTGAGATAAGAGGGAAATATGCAAATTGAGCTCTTTAAAGCTACCAATACACACTTAGAGACACTGTTTACATTGGAAATCTAAGAAAAGCAGAAGGTAAAGCAGAAGATAAAGTATAGGAAATAATGGCCTCCTGGGGAGGACAAGTTTAGGAGACACACAATGAAAATCTATCACTCTAATGGCACCCAATTTCACCCACAAACCAGAAAGGTTAGTCAAAATAGAGGAAGACAACCATGAATCTTGACACATACAAACCCAAGCCTTGAGCAAAAGAAAGAACATGTGATAATAAAACACAGCAACACAAACAAGGAAAATAACCCAAATGAGATTACATTTTTAAAAGATGACATGTAGGGAAATATGGAGAAGAATACCTTAATTAAAGTATAAAATATAATAAGGACATATTTACAACAAAAAGATAGCAATCAATTATCTCTATAATGACAATGATTTTTGCGATACGCCAGGTTGTTAGGAATTTCCAAGGTGTATATTTTAATAGTTGCCCTAAACTGGTGATGACATGTTTTCCTGAAACCTGCCTGGTTTTCAGTAGGGACAGAGTATTCTAGTGTCACACTGTACAACTGTACAAAAATAGCAACATAAAAATATTAAGAAAAATTACAGACTGCAAAAAAAAAAAGTGTCCATGCAAGTTCACCTGAAGTGAATGTTTTTAAAACAGGAAAAACAAAATTTGGGCAAAGAGGAGACTAAAGGAAGAGTTATTGAAAATATCAGTATTAAGACACATTGGAATAAATACTATAAATATGTTTATCCCATCATTTACACAATAAACAAGACAAAAAAAGCTCCTGATTGCCTTAGCCTCCTAATGATCTGGCCAATGTTAATGAAATGTGGGAATTAAAATAATAATCTTTAAATCTGAATAGTATCTTTCATCCAGGAATTACAAACTAATTCTCTAACACAAAACATAAAAAGTGAGTAATAAGGATGGACATGGCCTTAGAAAATATGACAAACAGAATAAACGAGGATAAAGACATCTAATAATGACTTTATTACAACAAATAATGATATAGTGTAATTACGACTCTATAAATCACACATACATACTAATTTCCCCTCAAGCTCTTGCTTTATTATAGAACTATATAAGAAATAACGTAAATGATATAATATACAGAGGCTGTGCCCTCCAACTCAAATAGTACAATGATAAACTTAATAGCTATAAATTACCCCTTAGAACACTCATTATAGCCACTGAGCATTGGTCAGTGTAAACCCAGGTTAAAATAAAGAAGAAGAAAAAAAGAAGGGTAATTAGAAAAATGCCACCTTCCTGAACATGCGTGAGGATAAACTATCAAGGGGGGAAGACATTATTCTACACAGGCATCTTATATTGGGCAATAACGATTCAAGCAAGTATTGGAAAAAGTTAAAACAAAATACACTTTATAAATCAATATATCAAAATAGTAAACTTCAGGAACATGAAATATTGCAAGTCAAATACATGAACTATTTAACATGTGGATACAGTTAAAACAGAGTGCATCAATTTTTTATTGCATGAGAAGGCATTCAGATTGGCTACAAAAAAGGGGTAGCAAAGATAAAATATTGTAACAGATACACAAGACTTTTTCAAGTTAATAATGAAAGGACTACTGCATGTTTCAGATGGCACCGTATTAAGATAAATATGCAGGCGGATATCCGAAAGCATTAAAACACATTCAGAGTTCTGAATAGCACATACATTTGTAATAAACAGAGAAAGCATTTAGAATTTGAACGCTTTTAAGATATGGCAACTCCGCCAGTGACTGTGTTAGCAAAGCAATGCTTACCACCATAGCACTTTCTAAGGACATTTTTTTCCCATCTTTTTAAATTCAAATACAGTTGGCTATCTCTCTACACTTTTAAAGCAGCACAATTTACGTAGCATATTGCTCTTTCTGTCATGTCAACTCTTTGTTATTTTGGCTTTAGCTGCAGGTGGTGTTTTCCATATATGAGTTTCTGGGAATATGGTCTATCTTGGCCATATAAGGATGTCTATTTGAGCCATATGTTTTGCTGTCATGTGTCTCATTTTGTCTGTCTGGGATGTCAGGACTGATTTCCACATCGTTTCTTGAATAGACCAAATACAAATGTGTAAGAACAGAGAGGAAAAAGCTGGGGCTGGAGCCCAAACAACTTTGTCAAAACACATAGTGGAAAGGAAATGCAATATCCTGTAAACATTTGCACCCTTCTTCTCACATCTTATCTGTGACTGACATCATCACAACTGCATAGTTTAGGACAGAATCTACTTGCTCAAGTTCAGAAGTTTGCAGTATGTGCATGCATGCAGCTTAATCAGACAGCCCCCACATCTTCGGAGGTCGTGGCAAGACACACTTAGCTGCCATACCCTGAGAGCCATAGGTCCTGCAGCCAGCTTGACCCAGCCTTGAACTTGGGTAAGGGAAGGTGTCTCAGGCTTTTCTTGTTTTAGTGAATAAACGAAACTCTGATTAAACTTGTTGACTCATCTTACAAGTATAGCGCCCATTTTACACTCTCATAGCCTCCTGCATTTCTCTTTTGTAAGTCATCACAGTCTTAATCAATTAACTGAATAATTATTGGCTTAGTAAGTGTCTCCCATACTAGACTGAAAGCCCTATGTGAACAGAGATGATGCATCTTGCTCACTGTCATATTATCAGGAATTCATATCCTGTCCTTGCAATGTTTACATTATGAATATTTATTTAAATAAATGAGAACAAAAAGTTCAGTGTCACTTGCCACCAACTCTCACTGCTAACTGCAACGACAATTCCTTTTAGAGAATTGTAGAAGTGCGAAGAAGGTAATGGAGGAGGGTGGCTATATCATTTAAATTTAAATTAATTAAAATTAAATAAAATTTCCAATGGAGTTTCTCGGTCACGTTTCAAGTGTTTAATAGCCCCATGTGGGTTTGGGGTAGTGTAGATTACAGAATACTTCCACCACTGCAGAAAGTTCTATTGCATAGCACTTATCGAGGAGTGAACTTTCTAAAGGATGACTAAGTAAATCCAGGACCTGGCCAGGAGTCTTAGAGGTGCAGAATGGCTTTTAGACATTCTAATAATGCACAGATTGAAGTAATTTTCCATTTTAGAATTAGCCCAAAGATCTATAAAGTTGCATGCAAAGATGACTTTCTAGACATGTCTGTATTTGAAAGGGTTCTGTGGTACATCTGGAATAATATGCATTTACCCCAAACGCTGCTTTCCGTAAGTATTTAAATAGCTCGTAGGTGATGTTAAAAACCTCAGAGTCATTCCCCATCCTCACTCCCACCCCCACATTAAATAAGCACAGTTGCCATTAGAAATGGCTCTTTTGGAAGCTTTAATGTAGGTATCTACTCAAACTGGGAGGGCATCCAGATACCAAACAAATAACGGTATACTGCAGAAAATAATAGCAAAAAGCTTGAATATGTTTCAGGGGAGATAAAGGACCAGTGATAATCAACTCTAAATATGGGGCTTCAAGTTTTTTTCTT